ACAAAATTAAAGTTGCAAACACTCGCTATATATATATATATATATATATATATATATATATATATATATATATATATATATATATATATATATATATATATATATATATAATCGTAGACCTTGACCGAAGATGTGTGCAGAAAACTGGAAGCATTTGATATGTGGCTATATCGGAGAATACTTAAGATCCTGTGGACTGACCGAGTCACAAATGAGGAGGTCCTCAGAAGAATGAATAGAAACCGAGAGGTACTGGCATCAAATCTCGAAAGTTACAATTCTTCGGACATATTATGCGAAATAAATCCAGATATGCTCTCCTTCAAGACATCCTGCAAGGAAAAATATTTGGAAAACGAGGTCCAAGAAGAAGAAAAACATCTTAGTTAAAGAACCTCAGAATCTGGTTCAATAAAACATCTGTGCAGCTTTTTCAAGCTAAGATAAAGATTGCCATGATGATCGCCAACATTCGTAACGGATAGGCACATCAAGAAGAAGACAACAGTCTACCATTCTAAAGCTTTGTAATTAAAAACATTGAGGTAGAGGTGGTCATTTCCAACATGACTCATATTTTATTTTACATCTTTATTTTGATTTAAAAAATTATAAATAATGATGTTTATTATTACTTTTTTTTTGGGTATTGGTTTTGGGAAAAAATTTAAAAATAAAACAAAGATTTTAAGTTAAATTTTATTTCATAAAACTTAGAATAAAATTTATCTGATAATAAAACTTATCATAAAATATTGTCGCATGAATTTAGAAATACCCTGCATATGTACCACTACTCTCACTAACACGCTAACATTTTTTATATAACATTCTCTGGTAAAACAGGATATATTATTTGTATATATAAAAATAAAAAGCTACCAAACTATGTTCTTAAACTCGTTAAAAAAATCGCTAGATAGTGGCATGTAGAAGGAAAACTCGAGAAAAAAATTCCTATTGAAGACTATCTTAGATTGAACAAAATAAAAATCACCGCGTGTTTCTATCGTACAAATATAAACATAATTACTATTTTAATGGGAATAAGGCACGATTCAAGGTAAAAGTAAGTTTATTGACGTTTCAAGAAACTCTCTTGGTTGAGGAATTTGCGGCAGTGGACAGGTTTGACAGCGGACCAATTGCTACACGTAGCGCAAGACCGAGATCAGTATAACAATATTATAAGCATGGTAGCCGCCGACGTTCCGTAGGGATATGGCACTCTAAGAAGAAGTGAAAGAAATCTTTCTCAAAATACAAACATTATTAAATTAACTTTGAAAATTAAGGCAATTAATTAATTTTAAATTAATTTAAGAAAAAGTACTTTCGCTTAAAATAGCATCTTCAAGGGACTTTCGTCAAATATGGACTATCCAGCAAGCGTAGAATGCAATAAACATGAATGTTAACATAAAATTTCACAAAACACTATACTAAAACAAGGATAACAGTTTAAAATTAATTAAAAAGATACTACGCACTACATTCTTTGTCGGTATCAGGAGAGAGAATCATTCTCGTTCGTTCGTTTCAATTCTTTTTCTTGCGTCGTTTAAAACAAAATAAAAATATAAACATCAACAAATACAAACAGTATTTTTGTTTTATAGAGGTCGGATAAGTTAGAAGGTGTGGATGAAAAGGTGTTTGTGTGTCCTCGGTAGACAATTTTTTATTCATAATTGATGGATTCGACCGTTACTTGATGGAAATTCATTTTATGTAACAATAACACACTGAAAACTTTGTTTTCAAACTTCCACAAAATTTATTTTAAATATTATCACTACAGCTTTTTCGGCTGATTGTCTTTCTCAAGTGATCTATTTTGGCTTGGGTTTACAAATTTATAGTCTCTAATGAAATAGGTTGAGGAGGGGAGAACTGTTTGTCTCAAGTTGGTCATTCAGAATTATATCTGTGTTTTTTAATTTGTTTATTTCCATAGATTCTAACAAAGATAGTTTAAGGCCTTTATTTTGAATGTGAAGAATTTTAAATTTGTCATTAAAAGAATGATTATGATCTAGAAGGTGAAGTGCGTATGTCGAATCTGTTTTTCTATTCTTGAAAGCCCTTTTATGTTCTGCTATTCGTTTATCAAAGTTTCTACCAGTTTGACCGATGTAAGTTTTTGGGCAGTCGCCACATTGAAGTTTGTACACACCACTATTTAAGTGTTTTTTATTTTGGCTCTTGTTATTTTTAATATATTTGCCTAGGTTGTTATTTGTTCGAAAAGCTGGTGTTATTCCTTTCTTTTTTATGTGTTTGGCGATTTTTGTTGTTATTTTGCCTGTATATGTAATCGAGCAGAAGGTACTGGGTTTTTTCTCTGGTGGTGGAAATACTAATTTCAGGACTTTCTTGTGTAGTTTTTGATTTTACATTTTATTAATTGTTTGTTCGTTGTATCCGTTGTTTACTGCTATCTGCTTAATTATATTTAATTCTGTCTCAAAGTTGTATTTTGACATCGGAATTTCTGTTAATCTATGTAACATACTATGATAAGCTGCCAGTTTATGTTGTGTTGGATGGGAGACGAATTGTGTATAGTCGTGTCAGTATGGGTAGGTTTATGAAATATGGAGAAGTCATGTTTGTTTTGAAGTCTGCTAATTTTTAAATCTAAAAAATTTATGGATTGATTTTGTTCTGTTTCTACTGTAAATTCAATATGACTATGAAGTGAATTAATATATGATAAAAGTTGGTCGAGTTGCCTGTTAGTTCCTGTGAAACATACCAGTACGTCGTCTACGTATCTCCACCAATATAAAAACTGTTTGAATACGGGATGTTTTGAAATCTTTGTCTCTAGATGATCCATAAAAATATCTGATAGCAATGGGCTTAGAGGATTACCCATTATAAGTCCTGCACTGTTATTTGTATAAATTTTCTTATTAAATTCAAAGTAGTCCTGGTTTATGCAAACTTCAAGAAGATGTAAAATTTCAGATGTAATTATTGGATTTGTACTATTTTGGTCTAAAAGGTTTTTTACTAGAATAAAAGTTTCTGTACGAGGGATACTAGGAAAAAGATTTTTTACGTCAAATGAAATTAATCTGGAGTTGTTAGGTAATTGAAAATGTTGTATTTTATTAACTAGTTCTATTGTATTTTTTATGGTAAATTTAGGTGAAAATTTAGTGTGGTCTAAAATAATCTCTAACAGTTTTTTTGAAATTTTATATGACGGAGCTGTATAAAAAGAAACTACAGGTCTTATTGGGTGATCCGGTTTGTGTAGTTTAATAAAAGAATATAATTTAGGAGGCTGTGGGTTCATGATACTGAGGTATTTCTGTTCTATTGGATTTAGTATTGATTTTGAATTTTCTAACGCTAGCTTAATTTGTTTTTGATATTTTTCTGTCGGATCTTTGTGTAAAGTTTCAATATTTTGATTATTTAAGAATTCTATTGTTTTGTTATTATATTCTATTTTATCTATAGCAATAGTAGTGTTACCTTTGTCTGCTTTTGTAAACACAATGTTGTTTTCTATTGATTTATTTTTAATTGTAATTGCTGTTTTATTCTCTTTGTAATAGGAATTCTTAGTTTCACTACTCACATCTGTAATAGATTTGGCAATTATACTTTTTTCGATATTGTTAGCAGTTTTGTTTAACGCTACTTCACATTCTACACCTAAATATTCTAAAGTTCTCTCATTATTATGTTGGGGCAAGTTGTGTTTAATTCCTTTCTCTAAAAGTTGTATCTCGCTGTTACTAAATTTAGTATCTGTTAAATTTATGAATCTATTGAAAAAAGTATGGTTCGAAAAACTTTTTGTATAATGAAAATTTGGTTTTTTACTATTGGAAATTAGATTATTTAGTTTTTTACACTGTGTATTGAATTTTTTATCTATTATATCATCTATATTAATTCTCACATTAGAATCTAGGATGTCAAATTCTATATTATTTAATCTATAATTTAATTCTGAATGACATACCTTAAGATAAACAGCTATTATATCCCGCTTTTTGTATTAGTATTTTCTGTCTTGTTGAAGCCATCTGGCCTGACCGTAATGAATCCCTTTTTGTGCAGCGGGGCTGTGGTTTTTGGTTTTTAACTGAATATATTTCGGGAACACTTTATTTTGTAAACACATATTTAAAAACCAGATGTTTTGTGTCGCCAGTCTACATTTCAGATGTAATCTTGAAAACAATATGGTCAAAAGTCCTGTACTGACTTCTTTTCATTCTTTTAATGACAAATTTAAAATTCTTCACATTCAAAATAAAGGCCTTAAACTATCTTTGTTAGAATATATGGAAATCAACAAATTAAAAAACACAGATATAATTCTGAATGACCAACTTGAGACAAACAGTTCTCCCCTCCTCAACCTATTTCATTAGAGACTATAAATTTGTAAACCCAAGCCAAAATAGATCACTTGAGAAAGGCAATCAGCCAAAACAGCTGTAGTGATAATAGTTTAAAATAAATTTTGTGGAAGTTTGAAAACAAAGTTTTCAGTGTTTTATTGTTACAATTTTTTATTCACTTGGTAGACGTATGTATCTTTCGCTTGTGACTAAGAAGGTTCCATTTCAATTTAAACGATCGCGAACACATATCACATTTATAATTTCGTACATCACTATGTTTTGCAAAATGAGCAATGAGGTTGTTTTTCTCCCTGAATCCTTTTAAACATTTAAAACAATAAAAGTTCTTAACTCCTGAATGAAGTTTTAAGTGACGCTGTAAATTATACTTCTTTGTAAATGTCTTGGAACATATAGAACATTTAAAAGACCCTTGATCTGTATGACATTTTAAGTGAAGTTGAAGCGTAACCTTATGAATAAATGTCTTAGGACATATAGAGCATTTAAAATGCCTTTGATCTACGTGAATTTTTAAATGCATCTGAAGTTCTCTCTTTGTTACAAATTTATTTGAGCAAATTTTGCATTTGAAATCTTTAACAGAAAAGTGTCTTTTTACATGACTTACTAGATAAGATTTAAATCTCAATAATTTAAAGCAAATGGGACATTCAACATCTGATTCTAAAGTGTGAGATTTTAAATGTTCTTTGATATTACTTCTACGGCTTGATTCTCGCGAACATTCCGAACATTTATAATATAAATTTCTCGTATGTGGCTTATAAAGTCGTGTAAGACTAGTTTTATATATTCTTTCTATTTCTGCTTTCTTTAAAACATTACTTTGGTCTGACTTAGTTTTATTTTTAACAATATCAGGTTGTATTGTTATTTTACTATATTTGCTACTTTCTTGCTGTATTTCGTTTTTGTCAATTACTTTATTTTTTCTTTTCACTGTATGATTCACCGCCTTATTATTTAAATGCTTTTGTAGAAGACTATCTATGTTGATTTCTTTTTGTCTTTTAATCGAAGTAACTGGAATTTTTGTCCTTTTCAGTTTATGAATAGTTAACTCATTCCTGTGGTAAATTTTGGTTGATAAATCATTGCGGCCCCTTTCTTCTTTTATGAATTCTTTTTTAAACTGTTCCATGTTTCTTTTTACCTAAAAACATATGTTCGTATTAACATTCTTGATATTTGGAGTATTTGAACTGTCTAATTGGGACAATTTTGTGGATTACGATATTATAAAGCGAAATATGTAAATATATTAATTATATGTTAGCTTACAGTATAACCCCGTTTGCTGCCATAATTTCATTTACCGCAGCTTGGAAGGCTAACGACGAAGATTTATTAAACCACTCACGTTACAAAGCCATGATGTTCTTCTTTGACCGGGATCTCTCTTTCCACATATTTAGCCCTAAATATTAGGATTGAGGACTCCATATCGTTCTGAATACCGCATGACATGCTCCAATTTTCATAATTTTACCATCTTCACTACTCTGGGTTGTTTTCTTAAATTTTGTAACATTTTTTTTAGAATTAAAATAGTAAGTAATTTTTAATTCCTTCACCCCTGTTGCTGATACGCTCATGGTCGGATCCGCAAATAGAAGTGCAAGTGGGCTCTGTCACCCTTGGCAAATTTTATTGGAATATACTATCACGGAATTCTCAAAGTACGGATAGGTTCTACTTATCAAAAGAGGCAGAAGTAGTATATTTTATGGTAAGTTTTTGTTAACGTTTTCGGTTCCCGGCGGGTCTTTTTTGATAACTTTGGTAAACATGGTCGTAAAAGCTGTTTATCGTATCTTTCTTTTTTTTCCGTGGAATTTATGGCTTTGGCGGGAACCAATCAGACTAAGTTAGACTGAATCATTAATTTGTGTAAAATGTTTCATAGTATCAAACCTGAGCATGATGTATTCATTTGTTTTGTTAGTAATATATAAAATGTGTAAGGTGTTTAATTTTTTTTTCCGCGCTAGGGCGTCAACCAGGTTCATCCCCTCGGAGGTTTCAGCTCTCTTTGTGTGCTTTACATTTAGTTTCTTTCGCAGAATTGCTTACAAAATTGGTTAGTAATTTTACAGTTTTAGTTTACAGTTTATGATGTGTTGATGAAGTATATAAAGGATATCACTATTTCCTGAAAAAATAATACAATTTAGGTATATTGGAAGGTTTATTACAGTTTAGGTCTATTGGTTTAAAGCGTTTGACAGAGTACGCCATGATAAGCTTAGAGAGATTCTTGAAAGGAAGGACATAGATAATAAAGATCTGCGAATAATTCTCAATCTATATTGGAATCAGAAAGCTAACATCAAAATAGAAACTGAAACATCACAAGCAATAGAAATACGTAGAGGAGTACGACAGGGTTGCATTTTGTCACCTCTGTTATTTAATGTATATAGTGAAAGCATCTGTCAGGAACCCCTTTTACAAGCAAACGGAGGAATCGTAATTAATGGAGAGATTGTAAATGATATTCGATACGCGGACGACACTGTACTAGTTGCAAGAACAGTAGAAGAATTACAAAGATTACTTACAGACATAAATATTGCTTGCAACAATTATGGTATAAATATCAATATTAAAAAAACCAAGTATATGATCTTCAGTAAAAACATGACACAACCAGCGTATATTAGTATAAACGGCACTCAAGTTGAAAAAGTATCAAGTTACAAATACTTGGGAACTTTAATAAACGAAACTGGAGACCAAAACAGTGAAATAAAAAGACGTATCGAAATTGTCAGGGCCACCTTCATAAAGATGAGAAAATTCTTCTGCAACAGAAATATAAGCATCCCTCTACGATTAAGAATGCTGAGAGGCTATGTATTTAACACGATATTATACGGTGTAGAGGCCTGGACTCTCAAACAGAACAACATGAAAAATATTGAAAGTTTCGAGATGTGGTGCTACCGTCGAATGCTGAAGATTAGTTGGGTAGAAACAAACTGTGAAGTAATACGAAGAATAGGAAAAGACCCAGAGATTTTGTTAACGCTAAAGCGAAGAAAACTCGAATATTTTGGTCACCTGATGAGAGGACATAAATACGCATTACTTCAAAATATAATGCAGGGAAAAATAGAAGGAAAACGGAATCCAGGCCGTAGAAGAATGTCATGGTTGCGGAATTTGAGAGAGTGGTTTGGCTGCACCACTAATGAACTCTTTAGGTCAGCCGTAAACAAGGTCAGAATAGCCTTGATGATTTCCAATCTCCGATAGGAGTGGCACAAAAAGAAGAAGAGAGGAAGGTTTATCTTGTAGTGAATTAAGTTTTTATATAGTTTATTAATGTTTACATTATTTATTAGGCATTCAAGTAAAACATGTACTAATGTACCCATTTTACCACAACTACAACGTGGATCCTCTGTAATTTTCATTTTGTGCTTATAATAAGGTGTTAGTGAATGATTAGCACGTACTCGATTTATTGTGACGACAAAGTTTCTGTTTGGTATTTTGTGAAACCATGGTTTTCTGGTAATTCTTTGCTGGTGTTTATAAAAGTTTGTTCCGGTTGTTGAAGCGTTGTATAGGTTTTGCCACATCTCATTTATTGTGTTTCTTTGGTTTAAGAATAAGTCGGACGGGAGTAGTTTAAGATTTAGTTCTTCTCCCGATGTTGGGGCTGTTTTTGCTAAGACATCTACTATTTCATTACCTGTTATGCCTGCGTGTCCCTTTACCCATAGATATATGACGACTTTATTCTTGATGTGTATCTCATTATGTAATTACAGGATATTTGCTACAATATGATTAACTGATCTATTTATGTTTACTTTTTTTAAGCTTATCTACTGCACTTTTGCTGTCCGTACATATTACGAATTTGTCGTGGTTAGAGCCAAGTATGTATTTCATAGCTTGCACTATTGCTAATTCTGCAGTGTATATGGAAGCTTTCTTTGGTAGAATAAATTTGTTGTCAGTATTTTCTTCCAAATGGTAAAAGGCACAGCTGGTATATTCTTTTGACTTTGATCCATCAGTAAACATAGAATCATAGTTTGGCCAGTATTTGTTTTGTGTTTCGTTAAACTTTGTTTGATTTATACTTGCTACTTCTTGACTTTCAAAATAGTAGGTTCTAATTTCACGTGAAAAAATTTGTTCAGGCGAGTAAATTAGAACCGGGGGAAGTTGGTTGGAATAAAGTATATCTGTAGTGTCAGGTATTTCTGAGAAAGTTTCTACTGTGAGGGGGTTTTCTTGAAGTGCTAGTATCTATAGATCAAAACTTGAACTTTTAGTGATTGATATTGAGGTAAGAAGTTCCAGATTTTTGGAAAAGGTTTTTATCATAAATTTTCTGCTCAATAATTGTCTTCTTAGTTTAAGAGGAAGTTCCACGGCTTCAGCTTATATAATATTTATGGGTGTTGACTTAATATATCGCAGGCAAACTCTTAAGCATTTATTTTGTTGTATCTCGATTTTATTTAGATGTGTATCTGCTGCTGTTCCATAAAGTTGACTTCCATAATCCATTATTGATCGTACCATTGTTTTGTAGAATATTAAAGCCGTATTTGGGTCTGCTCCCCACTTTGCCCTACAAAACGCTCTTAAAATATTTATAGAATTACTTGTTTTTTTGATAATTTGGTGGATACAGTCCTTCCATAATAGTTTTCTATCTAGATGTAGACCAAGATATTTTACAGAGTTGCTAATACGGAGTTTATATTTTCCTATTGTTAATGGTCTTTGATAGTTGTTTCTGTTTCTAGAGAAAATACATATATTGGTTTTGGACTCGGATATGGAAAGTCCCATGTTGTCTAGGCATTTTTGGATGTCTATAAATTCAGTGTTGATATTTTCTATACATTTGTCCTCTGATTTGTTACTGGTGTAAATAACAACATCATCGGCGTATTGAATAATTTTGGACTTAAGTGATGTAACATTTTCTATGTCCATTGTGTACAGACTGTAGAGGCTTGGGCTCAAGTGAAGATACTACCTTGTGGTAATCCAGATCTACATATTCTTGATTCCGAAACTTCTTTATTTATCTTTAAGGAAACTGATCGATTAGAGTGAACTGATTTTATGAAGTTGGCAAAGGAGGTTGGTAGACCAATATTGATAAGCTTCTCTTCTAGTATATTTATTTGAACATTATCATATGCTGAAGTTATATCCAAAAATGTAGCCAAAGTGCTGTATTTTTATGTGAATCCTAGATAGATGTCATTTACTAGTATCGTTAGGGGTTGTAAGGAAGATCTTCCCTTTCTAAAAGCATATTGTGAGTCAGGTAATATTTTTTTATTTTCTAGCCAATATTCAAGCCTGTTCTTTATCATTCTTTCTCTTCTTCTTCTTCTTCTTTCTGTTCTTTGTCGTAGCTGGCGATTTGGGATCTTGTCTCGTAGTGAAACGCCCAACATAGCACGCTGCATCGCCCTTTGACACACACGGATCTTTTGAACTGTTTTCCTCGTCATGGTCAACGTTTCCGCACCGTAAGTCAACACTGGCAAAACACACTGATTAAAGGTTTTTCTTTTAAGACATATTGGTATATCAGACGATTTGAAAATATGGTTCAGCTTGCCGAATGCTGCCCAAGTCAGTCTTATACGACGGAGAAGCTCAACGGTTTGGTTATCTTTTCCTATGCGGATTTCATGACCTAGGTATTTATAGACCATTACCTGGTCTATCGATCTTGTTCCTATGCATATATCTTCGCTGACTACAAGATTTGTCATCATCTGGGTTTTAGATATATTAATCCCCCTTCTAGCGAGGAAAGGTAGATCTGATTTAAAAGTTCTTTGGTCTCATCTATCCTATCAGCTATTAGTACAATGTCATCTGCAAACTTTAGATGGCTAAGTTTTTCTCCGTTCATGTTTATGCCCTTGTCGGTCAGTTTTGCCCTTTTACATACATATTCGAAAAGTGTAGTGAACAGTTTCGGCGATATGGTGTTCCCCTGGCGTACTCCACGTTGTATCGGGAATTTCTGGGTTTGACGATCACCCTCTCTAACACTGGCTGTTGCGTTTTGGTATATGTGTTTAATTATATTTATATACCGATAGTCAATCCGGCATTCTGTGTCTGATTTACGGTGTCGAATGCCTT